GGGGGGGGGGGGCAAAATTGTCCTCTGTTGAGAGCAACACAGATTAAAAAATATTAGGTTCATAGAAGTTAAACTAGACAGAGTTAAGCTAAATAACCAAAAAAACAAGACTGTGGAATCATTTTCTAAAATGTCATTTTTAACAGTGATGAAATATCTAGTATATTTCAAGAGCTAGAGTGAATAATCTATACTGCTTCTATATGTAATACCATACATCCTAGTCCTTACAGAATATTAACCAGGAATCTGTATGATGCATACCTGAGTTATACTTATAAATTTATAATTACTGCATGTCAAGACATAAAGCAAGTCAGATTTTTAACTAGCTGACACTCAGATTAATGTAAATGGTAAAATGGACACCATGAATGATATGATTGACATTAGTTTAATATAGAAGTAGGCATGATACTAAGGCCCCAATATATGGTATAAAGTCCAGTACCTTGTTCAGTAAACATCTGAACAAGTTAAATAATATAAATGACAAGACTTTGTATTTAACATTAATAAAATGGCCTAAATAAAAAGCCTTTGTGTCTCTTTTTGCTTTTAGACTATAAGCTCCCAGAGGTTAAAGATAATTCCTGATTTGAAAGCCTCACATAGGGAAAACCTCAAGATTCTTTATTTGATGTTTCCTATTTGAAGCAGATTTTAATTTCCAAAGGTGGATGTAATATTATCTTCCATTCTACATTCTCACTGATATCACCTTGACTATATTCCCATCAAGAGGTGAACGTAACTTATACCCAATAGAATGAGGTGGAAATAAAACTGTGATTTCTTAGTAAGAAAAAGGGAAGGGGCTTTCTGCCTTGCTTGCTGGAATACTCACCCTTGAAGCCTTCAGCTGCCATGTATGCTGTCCAACTCCCCTAGAGGCTGTGAGGAAGCCCAAACTAGCCCATCTGAGGAGACCACATGGAGAGGCTCTGAGACTACATGTAGAGAGAAAGATGCCAGGCCACTCCAGCTGCTCTGAACCCTTTCTCTCCTTTACCACTCCCTCCAGTGTACCCACTCCAGTTCCTGTCTGACTGCAAGTCCTTGAAAGACTCTGGGACGGAAACATACAGCCAAACTCTTCTAGAATACCTGGCCCAGAGAAATCATGAGATTAAAAAAAAATGATTGTTGTTTTAAGATACTAAGTTTGAGGTGATTCACCATGCAGCACAGATAACAAGAGGAGATCTTAGTGCTGGGAGTGTGGGGTTGCTATAATAAAAATCTAAAATATGTATTGGCTTTAGGATCAGGTGGTAAACAGAATCTAAAAAAGGGCTCGTGGCTCAGTGGTTGAGCGTCGACCTAGGATCCAGGCGATTGGAGTTCGATTCCCAGTCAGGGCACATGCCCAGGTTGTGGGCTGCAGTCGATCAATGACTCATTGATGTTTCTATCTCTCCCTCTCCTCTGAAATCAATAAAGATATATTTAAAATAAATAAATAAATAAATAAATAAATAAATAAATAAATAAATAAATAAATAAATAAAATAAAATAAAATAAAATAAAAAAGGGCTGTTGAGGAGACAACTGGTAAAATCTGGACGAACCAAGAAAATAATTTTAGTGGAAGTCTTAAAGGGCTTTAACGAACCTGTTGGTGAGGCCTTAAAGGAAAGTGACAAAAATATTGTTGGGAGATGGAAGAATAAAACTGTCACCTGTGGTAACATGAAAAATAGAAACTGCACCTAACTCAATGATCTAGTCAAGAAGATTTCCTCAAAGAGGACAAAGGTGATCTTTAAAAACTGAACAATTTGTTTGAGTGGAATTTAGAGGAAATGTAAAATGCCAGCCAGCCCTGGCTGGGTAGCTCAGTTGGAGCATCGTCCTGATATGTCAAGGTTGCAGGTTCAATCCCCAGTCAGGGTACAGCAAGAAGCAACCAGTGAATGCATAAATAAGTGGAACAAATCAATGTTTATCTCTCTCTCTCAAATCATTAAGTAATATTTTTTTAAAATAAATAAATAAAATAAAATGCCAGCTGGGAATTATTTTTCCCCCCATTAAGGCACTTTATTTGCACATTTGTATTACATCGCTAGAAAAAGAATCCCAGGATTTTCCCTCCTGTGTGTTTTCATCTTGCTTCTTTATAGTCCATGATGCCCACTGAGGTTGTCAGTACAATGAAACCAAGGTGGTGGGACGAAAGCAGGTTGTTCTGCCATTTTTCTAGATCTTGGAGTTGCACATCAAATCTGGGGCTGATTACTCCACACTTGTTCAACCTGCCTGTGAGGTTCATGAAAATTTCCCCAGCTCTGTGATCATCAATAATTTCAGATTTGTCAATGTAACCATGCTTCATCATTACAGTTAGAAATTGGACCATGGCTTTGGAGCACGGCCTAAGAAGAGCCTGGTGTTTGCCTCTCTTTTCCGCATTGCTGATACTCTTGAGAGCATCAGCCAGGACATTCAAGTGCACCATTATGGTAGCACAGAAAGATGGCAGAAAGAGCCGGGAATTCTTTAAAAAATGGGTTCTGGGCATAGGTCAAATCCCGAATGCAGATGTAAGATTTGTGGTTCAGACCTCAAAAAGATCTAAGGTAGTATCTGAGGAAAATAGTGAAGAAAAAAATGAAGTCACCATAGTCAAGGTGCTAAATTACGAAAATCAACGAGGTTCAAGTATGAGGGAACAATTCTATTATTTTAACTAGTCTGGGAACTTAAAATGTGAACTTTTCAGTTCTGTGCCAATGTCTGGATATATATAAATTTGTTGTGTCAATACCTGGACATACACCAGACCTCCAGACAACCCTCTGATTACCCCCCGAAAGACTCACATGTCCAGACCAACTGACATCTGACAAATAACTGTCCTGGACCAATCCTAGGGCTAAGAATGCAGGACTGACTCTTCTCAAGAATGTACTTTTTACTATAAAAATCTCTTAACTTTTCTTTCTTCTTCAGAATATTCTGGGTATTGCCTAGCTGTGTTTCTGGTTTGCAAACCCTAAAACCCTTGAATAAGTCTTTGTTGTTTCTTTCTAGCCGAAGCCTCCAGACTCATTTTGAGTTTGTTCAACATACCTCATAGAACCTTTCAAACAAAAGGCTTACTCCAGATCTTAGAGACATATTTCATAGAAACCCTACTGTTTAAGAGGCAGGATCTAAGAGTCTAATCTAAGGATCTAAGATGCAAGAATCTAAGATGTAAGGGTGTTGTCCCATCTATAGTAATCTATAAAGAATCCAAGACAGAGAAGGACATGTCTCAAAGAGATCTGTGGATATGGCTTTGGTCTAATGGAGATTGTTTTAAAATAGATACATGGGAAAACTACAATTTTAAAAGGAATCATAGCAATTTACACTTAAAGGGATAGAGGCAGTACAAAATGAAAAGCTGCCTCTGGATCAAGGATTAGCAAACTAGAGCCTTGGGGCCAAATCCACCTGTTTATGCAAATAAAGTTTTATTGGAACACAGTCATGCTTATTCAATTACATACTGTCTATGGATATTGAGCTGAGTAATTGCAAGGTGGAGGTTACAATTAACAGTAGAGTTGAGAGCAGTTGCAACAGAAACAATATGCAGCCCTTTAGAGAAGCCGGTCCCTGCCCTGGGGACTCCCAACCTTTTATGGGCAGGAAGTAGGTTAAGAAGGCTACTCAGTTACCAACACAGGCAGAAAGAAATAATAAATAGTAAAATCACTGCTGCGGTTTTAAGCCACTAAATATGGGATGACCTGTTATGTAGCAACATCTACTATAAATTATTTAATTAACTTTGGTTACTCATTTTTTAAGTTTACTAAGCCCCTTTTTTTCTGTAAGTCATTGTGATATATTTAACCTGTTTTACTTTTCTGACCTAATTTTGACTTTTCTGTTCTAAATTGCAACAACTTTATTAATATCAAGAATGCAAGCAGTCATCACTCATAAATTTACATCTACTCTTTAGCCACAAAGAATGCTGCCAATGACAAATATTACACTTTTCAGGTCATTCTACAAAATTTGAAAATAACTTGGATATATTGTAGATCTTTTTTCCATTAAGTATTTCTTTACCTAAAGTTGTTCAACACCTCTCACATATTTCAATATTAAACATATAGAGTTAGAAACATAATGGAAAACTGAATCCACAGAAAATCCCTAAAAGTAACTCAGATCTTGATACACTATAACTGGCAGATACCTCACTTTTATTTTTTGAGCAGTTCCAACTCTCCAATCAAAGACTCCATTGTAATGCCAATGGAGTTAAAAAAGTAAGTATTTTTATGGGACATTTCACTATAATTGTGGTAAAGACAGGACGACTTTATATAAGTTTGTGGGGTTTCAATAGAAAAGAAAAGAAAGCAAAAAGAAAGGCTATTAACAACTATAAGAATACAAAAAGTTTTATTATTAACTTCTTAAAAAATATGATATTCTCAACCTGGAAATTAGTCAAAAACTGTAATTAACGTATTATAAGCTGAATGGGCAGCTGAGATAATTCAAGCAATTTTCTAGAAGCATCCTATGTTTTTCACATAAAACTGCACAATCTACATAAAGCAAAACATTTTAACCTTAATCTTCTACAAAACTACCCTATGTTTTTAAGGGGAAGAGAAGAGCTCAATTTCAGCTTATAATAGCAATGACAACCTTGATGTTGGACATTTCCTATATTATGGGATTTTGGAGGATCAATGGCCCAATAAGCTGAGACCACAGTTAGTCTCTCAAATATCCCCAATATCTAAGAAATGTCATGGCATCCTGATTGTGATTGTGATTAATCAGGTTAGTAATTCTAAAGGTAAAGCTCATGCTAGTGACTTTTTGTCTCTCCAGCAAGCTTCCACCACCTTACCAATACATAGTGTATTTACTGCTATTCTTCTTACCACGGTTCCTGACCTGTCAACCTGAGTGCAAGATCGTGCAATAATGCAGGTACTGTATGTCTGACACCCCTCCAATAATGAAGCAATAAGTTGTTGGAACACAACTTAATATTGGGGCGCCTGAATACTTGGTTTAAAGGATTCATCTTGAAGGAGTGATTTATATAATATCCTGTAGGGAAAATAAGCATCAAAGCATTTTGAATGTTATTTGTTATTCAGAAAAAATACCTAAAGTTAGACCTAGAATTCAGCACATGACAATAACTTATCACCCAAACTTCAGAATAAATTAAGAGTGAATTACAACACTACCTTTGCTTTTCTGACAAAGTCTTAAATTCGAGAGTCTTCTCATTCATGAAAGGCCATTAAGCCTTATGATAAGCATAAACAAATACAGAGTTAATATGCATTTTTAGTGTAAGCACGGGTTGTTTAACAGTCAGAGGAACAGATAAGACAGAGCTAGTCACCATTACCTTGGGCTTCTTCCAGTCATCCTGAGGTAGATATCATACAGGAATGCTGGGGCCTTATGGCTTACAGCAATCCAGTAATGATATAAAAGGTGATTGGAGGTTAGATTTACATTGGGCCGTCTGAAGGCCTGTTCGAGAGGATTCCTCTTGAAAGTGGAAATTACATGGTATTCTGAGGAAGAAAAGTTGTGTAACAGCTTTGATAGTAACCATGTAATGAAGTGTTGAAAAAAAATCATGTTTTTACACAGCAAAATATTTTACCAAAGATGTCAAAGTTCGCTCATTTAAAAGACAAACTTTTCTACTCTCTAGTAGCTAAGAGAATCTCAGTATCAGACTGCTGAACTCAAGTGGTTTTAGAGCTGCCGCTGTTTATGAATTTCATTTAGATGAATGAATTTTTGTCACTCTTAAAATCCTTTTAATGTTTTACCGATGGCAGTTTACAATGTCACTTTCTCTATTTCACCTCTCACGATAGCTTCTTTCTTTCTGTTCCTCTTTTCAGATTCTTATTATTGGACTTACTTAAAAAAGAAAAGGAAAATCGTCATCCTTTGCTTATGAGTAATTAAGATGCTCAAATTAATATACATCAACACCTTAAAACAACCCAAATTAACTTCTGTCGTAATTTATGTAGTCTATTCGATGTCAACACATTCAAATCTATAATCATCTTAATACTTTATGGAAATGTGTATTGAGATATTCACTAAAAAATGACATTCAACTTAATTTTTACTGAACTTTAGAATACAATGACAGATTACAAAAAACACCTCTCATTTTAAAGTGTTTTAAAATTATTAAAAGAGTACTATTTAAATAATTATCATAAAATTAAAATCTCCCTAGATTTTTTTTCCTTATGCTCTAACAATCAATCTTTAAATTGAAATAAAAATGCCCTAGAAAAACCTTAGAATAAAGTACATAAAAGATTTACTTTAAAATCAAAATTGATCTACAAGGATGACAAAAATTGTTTAGTTAGGGGGTAAAATAAGACCTATTACTAAATCAATGCCATAAATATATTTTACTTTAAATCTGAAAACATAAACCAACAACTTAAAAATGATTCAATATCAGTAGGCTTTAAATTATACTATTCCCATTTTAGGGCAAGTAACAGCATACACACTACCTGCTGTGAATTTGTAAATTTAAATAGATTAATTAATGGGAAATATTCTAGCAAAATGTATCCATCCTACTTGCTAATTCCTTCATTTATTACTCTCTGGACCACTAGCTATTTTCTGAGATATACCAACTCTTGTAGTTGAAGTGCTATTGCCTATGGATACGCAACATCAGCACTGAGTGTGCCCATGACAGAAAAAAAGCACTGTTTCCATGCCATGGGTATCTATCGGGGCTGCTGCAAAAGGCAGCAGAAAAACCAGTAAGGGTCGGAAAAGGGTGGGACGTAGGACAGGGAGGGAATACACAGCAGGACATTTTTAAATTTGTAAAACACTATTAAGAATAAGGCAATATTGGTAGATATTCTTAAGATGGCAATTAAAATAAGAATAAATTGGTAACTCAGTGGCCTTAATGTCTCATGGGTTATTCTGACATAAGAACTCAGAGAATATTTTAAGTTCTTTAAGATTTATTCTAGCATTCAAAAACACAGGTAAAATCATACCAACTTCACCCCAGTGGAAAGGGTTAGTGCTGCCTGTTGTGCAGTTATACACCATGATGTTCCTTGGTCTGCAAAAACAAAGATCAAAGCAATGAAATATAAAGAGGCCAAACTTGTCAAATCTAAATCTTATGATTTCAAGTAGGAAAAAAAATGAGGATGGGTACCTTTGCTACATTATTTTTAAAATTATCCTTAAAAGATTAATGTTTGCATGTAAATGGCTATTTATACTTTTTCCCTCCCCTGCCAACAATATTATTTATTTTAAAAACACAGACTTTTTATTTTCATATTTTTCTTCCTTGTATAAGTGTCAATTTTCAAATTAAGAAAAACAACAAATAATCTCAGCTCTTCCTATCTCCTTCCCATTTTCAGAGGCTCTAGTTGAAAATATTATGGACTGAATTCCCTTTAACCAGAAACCATATATTCATATAATCATATCCCTCCTTTTTTAAAATATAAAAAATACCGACTTCATAAATAAGAGCAGTTTATTAATTAGAAAACAAAAGTTACTGAAAAGCTTAAAGTGTAGGTGTTACCTATAAATGTCACTACCCCCTTTTAAAAGGAGGCCCATGAGTTGATTAAAACTGCTCTAGTGTAACATGTTTGATATGTGTAAGCCATTCTCTGTGAATTTTCAGCTCTTTATGCCAAGTTCATATCAAGCTTTAGTTTGGATTAAAATAATCATCGGTTGGGGGGGAGGGAGTTCATTTTTACTGCCCAATCAACTTGTCTATCCTGTAGGTAGTACATGAGAATTAATGTTAATTCGTAATTACTGCTGATAGGATCACTTGCTATTATTGCCTGTAATAAGCCAACTCTCGCAGTTGGAAGTGATAATGCCTATATATATTGGTATGGGAATATCAGGATTGAGAGATTAATATTAGTCAGTAGCTCTGTTTTTCCCTTCTCAGTTATCATATATTTAACAAGCAACACTGTCACCTCATGTACCTATTAACTCCGGAATACCAGGCTGCCGCAAGACTCGTGTTGACAACTACATCTACAGGAACAAGATCTGCAAGGGCATTGTTGGAGGCACGCATTGTTCGAAGAATTCCTTTCCCTGCCTTTGTTAAAATTAAAAACAACACCTTAAGATATGTAAGTCAGAGTGCATAAATACATATAAAGATATACAGAAAACAGAAAAAATATAGAATATTAAATAAATCAAAAGGTTTACTTACCGCAATAAAGAGACCACTTGGTCCATTAAAGTTATCAATCCATCCCTAATACCAAAAATAAAAAAAGGTAGAGAGCTTATAAATATTATGAAATTAAAGATTTATTATGTGAAATCTACAACTCCACATATATACTTGGTAATTTTCTTCTAAAAACTAAATATTAGACTAGATTCAGGCTAGACTGTTTCTCCTGGCCCCAAATAGAAGCAGTATTTCTCTGGGATTGCAAATGGCTAAATAAAATCATTTTCAAGGGGTTACCTACTCTTCCTTTAACCCTCTGCAAGAATTTTATAAAAAGGAGTTTATACCTGTCAAATATTTTTGTTAAATAAAACCTGTTCAAATTTGATTTATGCGACTTACTGATGCACTATTCTGATTAGGGGGAAATGGTTAATTATCCTCAAAATTACTGAATAAAAATAGGAAAGCAGAATTGTCAAAGCAACAAAGGGCACGCTATCACTTACTACCATTATAGAAACCTAGGTTTTTCCTAAATCAACTTATCTGTTAGTTTATATCTATGTTTGCTCCTACTCCAAGGATTCACAAATGCCATAATGCCTTCCTTTCCTAGAGCAAATTATCATAGGAATCTCATATTCTTCTTAGCTCGTGATCTATACAGGAAGGAGTTTACCTCTTGGGAGGCTTGCCTCTTTTTGGTACTAAAGAGCAAATGAAATAAAATAAGATCCTGAATATTCTCATCTCTATTCCCTTCACTTTTTCAAGGGAAGCTAATCAGCAAATCATTTTAAAAGCCAACAAATGCTGAGGTGTCAAAAGTCCAAGCTCATCAATCACGAAGAAAACACATAGGGCAAGATCTTCTTTGATCAAGACAACATGATAGTCTTTTGATTTAATTTTCAATTAAGATCTTTAAAATGTTGATCTGCATTCCTAAACACAGCATTAAATTAGAAATAAAAATATGATGAACGTGTCCTCTTTCTATAGCCATCTTAAGCCGGCTATATTCAGTGAGGAACATCGCTTAAATCAAACAACTGCCAACTCTTTGAAAATTTTCAATTCCAATTATTTAAAATATTTCTAACAACTTACTGGAAAAGGTTCTTTCCAACTGGCACCAACAATCGATGGCCTTACAATTGCCACATTTAGTTTTGCTCCTTCTTGTTGTATAACATATTCTGCCAGTGCTTTCGTGTATATGTATGTATTAGGTCTGTCTCCTATCAATTTGGGAGTGATATCATTTACGAGGCCATCATCCATCCACCTGGGAAACAAAGAAAGCATGCAAAAATATTTTCAGATGTTTTCCTATAAAATAAAAAACCACCTACTTTGCATATTCAAACATCTATTGTTCTGACCCAATGATTTGACAACTTTTGCTAAAAATATGGGAGTTAGTCTTCTTTTCATTATACATCAACTACAAGTTCACATCTCTTATACCCAATTTCTATATCCAAAAAGGTCTGAAAATCTAGAGTTCTTTCATAATCATATGGTAGGCAGCAAAGCTGATCTGAACTGATTAATGATCTTTCTTTTTTTTTAGAGAACTCACTTAGTATGACTATTCATATACTTTATTATGTGCTTGATCAGGGTTGCTACCCCAGACCTAACTGAAGTTATTTCATATTATATAGTATATAGATTCTATTCCTTTTTAAAATCCAAAAAAATTCCAAAATACAGCTGGCCCCATGGGTTTCAGATTAGGAATTATAGATGTATATATAACCACTGAACACCATATTAATTATACACATGTGCAGTGAACATAATTTACAATAGAAAAAGTCTAATATTCTCAATATTACTGGAAACAGTATGCCCTCACTAGTGAGACTAACAAAAACTAAGATGAACAATAAAATTGAACCATGCTATAAAATTTATATAGAGTATCATCACCATCTGCAGTTATTCTTTCTGGGAACTTCTCAGTCTTTTTTTGTTTTGTTTTGTTTAAATCCTCACTGGAGGATATGTTTTTGTTTTTTTTAAGTTGATTTTTAGAGAGAGAGGGAGAAGGAGAGAGAGAAACATCGATTGGTTGCCTCTTATATGCACCCTGATCAGGGGTCGATGGGGGATTGAATATGCAACCTGGTACGCTCCCTGACTGGGAACTGAACCTGTGACCCTTCAGTGCATGGGACAATGCTCCAACCAACTGAGCCACACCAGCCAGGAAACCTTCTCAGTGGTTTACATGCCTCTGGTGCAATATTTTGGTTGACACTTGTATTCATCATTTAGAAATTAGTGAGGACTGCAATTTCCTACCATCTTCCTCTACCTCGAACATGACTGCCAAGACATGGGGTCTTAGGGATTTGGCTTTATTCCACTGCTCAGAAAACTTCCATTCCAGCCTCCTCGCTCTTTTATGCGGGAATTATGCCTTCCCACTTACCCCCCTTTTACCCTTCACAGCTTTTCAGCTGCAGTCCAAAAGTACCTGAGCAATGCCTAATATGAAGAAGATCCACCTGTGAGCTGGTTCTGTTGGTAATGTGGAAATTACAAACTCCAGGGGAGCAAAGGGGCTTTTCAATGTCGTTTGCTTTCAGAAACAGGGACTTTCTATTCTCTCTAAGGCCTTGAATTGATGTTTTCCCTCACATAAAATAGTCTGATAAACTAATTTTTAAAAAGAAAAGCCATTAAGTATGTTGCACTGTGGTTTACAATTACTAATGAGTTCATGCTTTGTACAGGTGGCTCAGCTGGTTGGAGGGTTATCTCATACACCAAAAGGCTGTAGGTTCGATTATCAGGCAGGGCACATACCTAGGTTTTGGGTTTGATCCCCAGTCAGGGCACATAAGGGAGGCAACCGATGGATGTTTCTACAACGATGTTTCTCTTTTTCTCTCTCTAACAAATATGTGAAGATATGATGGATCCTGGAAGGTTTTTATAATAATAAAGAAAAGCTTTTTGTTTTTGCTCTGATCCTGTGTTGTTTCACCTAATAAGAGAGCACAGGCTGAATGAAGTAAATGAAATGCTGGTCATGGCATAAGCATACTTCACTTAATCCACATCCAAATATTTCTCATGCAATAGTTGTTGATAGGATCCTAGACCTCAGAAAGATGACAAATAGTAACGCTCAGAGTGTCAATTAAAGGACCATGACTCCTCTGATTCCCTAATAAAGGTACCTCTACAGATATACTTCATTGGTCAAAATAAAAAGAATAATCTTTTAATAAATTAGAAACTTGCTAGTGAATAGGCAATCATTAGTTCCTATGGGTATCAGGTACTTATTCATTAAGACTGATTCTCTGGAAAACAGAGGCCCTAATATCATGGATCAGTCTGTTTCAAAGGCCTTCTTCCAACCACCACACTTGGTCAAAAGTGAAAACTCTACACTGACTTCACCAAGTTATTTAGACATAAATCTATACAATAAAAAAAACATAGATATGCAATAATTTGTTGAATAATGGAGATAAATGTGTTTGTGTACATATACATATATATTATGTGTGTATATCTATATATGTGTATGTGTGTGTGGGTGTATATATATTTTTATGGAGTGGAGAGAAACAGAAATTGACCAAGAGGTACATATAGATACACTTGGATCCAAACTTTTAGGATCAGAGCAAATGCATATAAATTTCAAACCAACATACTCTAAAGAATCAATCAGTTTCTTGGGATCCACAGGGGGTGGATAGACTACTTCTTCAATATGCTTTCGGTTGCAGTAAGCATATGCTGTTGACACATGCATGAACACATCCAGATTCTTCATTTGTTGTGCAAGGAGAATAAGCTGTCGTGTAGCAATCACATTTAACTGAACAGCATCTCTGTAAAAGAAAAAGTGACAATAAAAAGTTAGGAAGTTGCCCAGCTGGCGTGGCCCAGCGGTTGAACATCGACCTATGTCCAGGAGATTGAGGTTCGATCCCTGGTCAGGGCACATGCCCACGTTGCAGGCTCGACCCCCAGTGCAGGAGGCAGCAGATCAATGACTCTCATCACTGATGTTTCTATCTCTCTCTCTTCCTCTTCTTTTCTCTCTCTGAAATCAAGAAAGACATATTTTTTAAAAAAATTAGGAAGCTATGTCATTTATTTCATCTGCTAAAATAAATCTTATTTCCATTAAAGAGAGACATTTTCTTTACAACTGATCCCTTAGCTCTGATTTTGTGTATTTTATTTCAATATGAAGTACATCCATTCTATCACTCATATTTAAAAAGAAATATTTTCTGATTATAAAATAAATCTCACTAGAATTTTTAAATTGCTCAGAAATAAACATAGATCATTTCTGTGTCTCTGGCTTTTCAGTGTCCATTGTGAAGTCATGTTAGACTTCTTTTGCATCTTGACTATTAAAAGTATATTGTTTCATTATATGGCTGTATCACAAGAAGAAAATATTAGAATTGTTAATTTTATTTTATTTTTTAATATTTTTATTGATTTCAGAGAATTGTTAATTTTAAAATGCTAAAGCAGAGTCACCAATAAAACTCAGAAGCATTAAATTATATTAACATATAACCAAATATGAATATTTCCTTCTTTGTAGCAATTAGTCCAAGCCTCTTAAGATTAGTTACAAAAGGGGTATTATAATAAAAGTAGTACATATGTTACAAAACATACATGCAAGACCCCAAAGTGACCTATATATTCCCTTCTTAAAATTTATTAGAAATAATTTCACAAATACAAAGTAAATATGAAGGAAAAAAATCAATGAAGCATCATCTATTAACAGTAATAGCCTAGGGAGCCCAAATATTCACTATGAATGATTTAATAAAGTAGGTATTTTATCACAATGAAAGACTATAGCCATTAAAATAATTATGACTACTATAAAACATGGAAAATCTAGATGAATATTGAAAAAATACATACAAGACTCTGGAATACGCCCTGGGTTCAATTCCTAGCTTGGGTTACCTATCAGATAGAATAGGTGATCTGGTAAAGTCACTCAAGCACTCAGGCCTCAGTTTTCTCACTTATAAATGGGAACAATAATGGAATCTATCTAATAGGATCTGTATAAAATTAAATGAAACAGATAGCTTGCTAAGTAATAGTATTTAGCAATACTAAATAATGGTATGTAGCATTATTCCTAATGCAGTCCCAAAACAGCCATTCAATAAATATTACTTAAGGTAGTAAGATGATGGATAGTTTTTGCTTTCTATTAAACTTACGTTTACAGCTTGAGGTCTGAGGGGGGGAAAGAGTTGAAATACTCAATAACAGTAATACTGTGGTAAAACTGGCATAGTAATATACTGTAGGTGACACTGATACAACTGATCCAAAAGAGCCTAGGACAAAGTACCAGAAAGTATAGAAATGATAGTTACTAATCTAGTTAACATATTAAAATTAACTTAGAGAAAAACTTGTTCTAACCCAAATTTTTCAAACAAAAAGAAATTAAAATTCCCTAAATTTGCTATACTAAGTGAACATTACATAAATTATGTTATATCAACATGATGGAATATCATCACATCATGAAAATTATAACAAAGAAAAAATTAGAAATATGGAAATTGTTTCTATAAGTAAAGTAGAAATTCTATGTTTACATTTTATGTAAAACAATATATGTTCAATGACAGACCACAATAATTTTTCTTTAAACATAAAGTTTTGAGTACTTTCCAAAATTCTTACTTTCAGTATTTAAGAAAAAAATCCAGCCACTCTTTTAAGGGGCCAGGATTGCCACAGAATCTGGTCCACTGGTCTGTAAAGCAGTGCTTTGATGTCTATCACATTTACAAAACAATGTTTGGAAGAGGTATACAGAGAATATTCTGTTACAGGTTCCTAAGGACAGGACAACAAGTTCTGGGTCACCAGGAATAAGAAATAATTCATGAAAGGAAAAACTCCTGTGCTTTATTTTTTTTTCTCTTAACTTAATAGTATGCAGGAGCCTAAGAAACATACTAGAAGTTAATTTTTTTAAAACGAAGTAACTGGATTGGGGTCTTACAATCATGAGTGTATCTTTTTTCTTCCTTATCTCAACTGAGGGGGAAATGTGTTCAAATGGAAATCTGGCAGCAAAGACATTTCACAGAGAGGATACTATCCGCTAGACTGTAAGGCAATGTGCTATCTTCTTTTGCATTTGCAAAACAATAGGGGTAAGGACAGTAACGTTTTTTGGGAGCAGAACACAAAGGATATTCTGTTACGGGATCCTGAGGATGGTGACAGAGTTTCTGGGTCACTGAAAACAAGAAATAACTAGAGAGGAAACACTCTTGTGCCTTTCTACCCCTTCCCGCCCTTCTGTACCTGAGAGCTCAAACCTAAAGGCATTTTGTGCCAACATAAGTAACTCTTAGTATCGTTGCCAGGCTAGTAACCTCACTCTATTTTACCACCATCCAATTTCTACTCCACTGAAATTCAGGCTAAGACCCTGACATGTTAGATGAGAAAGTATTTAATACTAAACAAAAATAATGTTCTCATTATGTTTTGGTTATCTAGAGTCATAAATGCATACTAAATAATAGTGGCTTTGGGGTAGGGGTGGGGGAAATTAACAAATCTTTGTAATTATGATCCATCATTAATACAGACATAGAAACAAACCACTTTAAAAAAAGAAAAGAAAACCTGAGCTGTCAGTAAATGTTCTTGTTCACCTGTCTTCTACAGACATGTTGGGTTGTTCAAAATCTATGTTGATACTTCTAAGACTTTAAACCAGAGATCTCATACTTGGCATGACAGACACCTGAGTTTATTAAAAATGCAGATTGCTGGACCTCAACCTCAGACACTTTTTAATGTCTGAAGTGAAGACTCTGAAACTGCATTTTAAGTAAGCTCCCCTAGTCATTCTGATCTCTCATTCCCCTCTTCCCCACCTCTGAGAAAATACTATCTAGATGAGACCTCATCAATATTGCTGATTTTTAAAAACTTAATAAAGCTATAAACACAGATGTCTAAGAACCAATTAATCAATCTTAGGGTAGGGGACCCAGACACCTGTAATTTAAATCACATCCAATGCTCTTGCTAAAAATGAGTATTCTCTGGGTATCATCCCAAAACTAAAGGATCTAAATTTGGCATGCACAGTCCAAGACTGTGCCTTTTTAATACATCTTCCAATTCTTAAGATTCAGAATACATTCTAAAGTTTGAGAATCAATGCCCTTAAATGCAACAGTTTCTAGATCTTTTCTAACCACCAATCTTTACTTGCACTTCTTTCTTAAAACCTACTCACAGTCACTAATGTATACTTTTCAGAAACTCCTTATTTTCTATCCTATATTATGGTTATTTAAGCATATTCCTACTCCTCTATTAGACTGTATGGACTTAGCAAATAGGATCTGTGGGCAATTTCTCTTGGTTTTTCCCAAAATAATGAGCACAATGTGCCGTTTTTTATTTGTGGGTTAACTTAAAAAGTAGTTATAAAGAGTAACTGTTTTGTGAGTAGTTATTATATGCCAACCCACAGTATTTTAGAATGTCTGGCCCAAATCTAATGTAGTATCACCATTAAATGTGCTTCACAGAAAACAATAATTTTAATGATGAGGCTTTGGTCTGCAAACCTGCATGCCTTGACCAGGAAGAACAATAAATTTTCTTGTTCACCTATCTACCACCCCCTCTATGGTATCTCTAGTACAGAAGAAAGGATAATAATGAAAAGATTTCTCTTTCATTAATGGTAGCCTTGCTTACCCCAGGGGAACAGAGAGAGAGAGAAGGCACCCTGAAAGCACTGTACTTTGATGAGTTTCACCCTAATTACTGTTGCCTGTTCCAAGGACTATACATACCACAATTACCTACATCTATATACTTTTTTCTTGAAAACAGTTTCTTAAGGCTGTGTGAACTCTTTCTTTTGGTTATGAAAAAAGTAATAAAATATAATAAAAGCTAGAACTGTGGAGGAAAAATATCCGTTAGATTGACTATTTCATACTAAAAACCTACCTGTAATTGCACTATTCAAATATAATTGGCAAATATCTAAAGACATGTCTATAAATACACATATATACATTTTATGAAAATGTGATTATACAATAGTTCTAACAAGATTCTTTTGTCACTTTTCAATCATGAATACCTAATAGCTGCATAAAAAGAAATAAAAAATAATTGGTTATTATTACCCAGTAATAAAGTCAAGATTAGAATTAAGGTATGTAATTCCAAAGCTCATCAGCTTTCTATTACACAGTGCTGCTTCAACTTCCTCAAGTATAAACTAGATTTGCCCATACTACTACAGTGGGTAATGTTAGCATGGACTAAAATACTGGATGAGAAAATACCCTAAAAACGATAAAGGACTATTACATGAATATAAGGGACTATTTATAGTGCCCTCACCTAGAATATAGGCAAAACACATTGTGATGCTTTGGCACTGAACTCTCACATTATAGAATGTCGATTAAGGTTTACACTTCCATATTGAAGGCAATATGGGGAATAATCTCAATTTAATTAATCAGAATTTAATTTAAAAGCATTTTAAGAAAAGGGCCTTCATGTAATTGTGAAACCTAAAGAAGTCTGTACCAATTTAACTGGCATAGACAGTACAATTAGATTAACATTATAAAATTGTATTTTGAACATACCATCGAAAAGAATGCTCTGAATTAAATGCCATTATTTGAAATGCATATTTGTTCATTTTTTAAAATAGCGAACATCAGAATGGTTTTTTTTCTTGAAAGAGGCATCTTGAATTAAGTCCAAATTATTTTTTAAATTAAAATTATATCCAGTGTACCTTGCCCCTAACACAGCTAACAAAGTTTTAAAACAAAAACAAGGTATGACTTAAATTTGTAAGCTGCTTTATCTTCCTCTGCAAATCTGAGCTGGTTTTAAATTTTCAGATGGATATATGTGAGTAGAAAAATAAAGCTGCTGAGTTATAGGCTTCTCAAAGGATGGAGATAAGAAGAAACAGACACTATTGGTTGTTAAGGCTAACACTCCTACCCAAGGTGAATTTTCCTTTCTTCTACTCTCTAACTCCTATTTCTTGGCTTTCCCCTGTCCCATATTAACATGCATGGCAACTTCTACTAAATATACACTAGCTATCCAATGTTTTTAAACTGATAACAAGAAAAAGGAAATTCTTTTCACACTGTGTAGGACATTGAAAGCTACAAGCAACTGTTTCAAATCACTTTCAAAACAACTTGACTGAAAAGTAGAATTCAAATTAGATCTTTTAACCATGTTGAAGTTCAAATATCAGAAAAATATCTTTACTTACCTTAAATTTTCATTAAACCTGACTGTCGCTGCACAGTGAAATATAATATTGGTAGAATCTATGATGACCTCTTTATCTTCTTCACTAAGAGCCAGCTTAGGCTGGGTAAGTTCACTGTTGATTGCTATAATTTTCTCCCTAAAATCTGGATTTTCATCTCTCAATCTGTCAAAGAGCTATTAAAGGGGGGAAAAAATAGTTTAGGGCAGCATTTTTCAACTTTTAAAACCCATGATCATCTCCCTCTTCCCCACGGCGGATCACTATTTTTAAAACATCGACTATGCAAATCCTAAGGTTGCTATTCTTAACTGTTATCATTCCATAGAGAAAACACCTTATGAGGCCCACAGTATTATCTTCATTTCATAGGTGAGGAACCTGAGGAATCAGGGAGGTTAAGTAACTTGCCCAAGATACAGAGCTGGTAGTTTGCAGTTAAATTTGAACTGTCCATGCCTTTGTTGATTAGATGATATTATCCCTCAGAATAGACTTACACAGAACAAATATCAGCACAATGTTTAAAATGACCATTCAGATTTCTAAAATCCAGACTTTAATTTACAAGGAAAAACTAGATAAGTAAACAGACGATTAAAATATAGTGTTATAAGTAATAAAATAGGGGTAATATTACAGTGCTATGGGCTGCACAGGAAGAAACAACTAACTCAGCTTGAGAAAGACCTGAGATTATAAAGTGGAAGAAAAGTGTTCCAGGCCGAGGAGCAGTGTGTGTAACCATTAGAAGTGAAAGAGGATTGATATATTTGAGACATTAAAAATAACTCAGCAAGGCCTGGCCAATGACTGGGTGTGAGGGTTAAGGAATATAAAGTCCATGAGGACAGGGGTCGCATCTGTTTGCTCAGTACGTGGGCCCTAAATATAAACAGCAGAGTGCTGGGTGAGACAGACATGATAACCATTTGTTAGGGAAATAAGTTCAGTAGGTGGAAAACACTGGAAGTGAAAGTAGTACAGTTACAAAGATACAAGTTTGCGAAGGTTTTTCAAAAACTGTTTTGTGACTGGTGAGTATAAAGTGCCTATGTGACCCCAGAAGACAGGTCTAGTGGCGGTCACTGGCTCTGCGGGTCTGGAGTTCAGAGAAGGGAGCGCCAGACTGACACAGATTTTACCAACCACACCCCGGTAACAGCAGTGCTGGGTACCCACGGTCCAGGCCACATGAAGCTTTTTCCAAATCTAATTTGAAGCACAGCTATTCATCTAACATAAAACAGACAGCGCCGAGTAATCACCTAACTGGACCTAGTAAGAAGAGATCAAGCCTAGAACCAAACTTTGAAGAGTATCAATATTTAAGGGGCAAGCAGAGAAAAAGAACCTGAGGAGTGACCAAAAAAGTGCTTAACACCTTGAATACATACTTTTTTATTTCACATTTTTTCATTCTCCCAGATTGCTAATAATCTTTAATTCCCTTTCATATGATATATCTCCAACCAAGACATGACTATGCTGCTTCACAAGTTACATCACAAACACGATACTCTTCCCTCCTCTAGCCACCATCTCTATTCAATACTCCTTTCCCCCACTGGTACCCCAATTAGTTCCTACTTTATTACATTCACTAATGAATGCCCTCTTTAATATACTTTACTCCCCCTTCCAGAATTTATTTCATGGTCAACTATTTTAATTTAGTGGAGTTTCTTTTCCCAGAGACATTCCTATAAATTAGCGGTTCTCAACTTGGTGCCATTTTTGCCTCCAGGGAACATTTGTTGATGTCTGTAGACATTTTTGGTTGTCACAACTGGGAGGGTGAGGGAAGGAAGCAGCTGGCATCTAGTGGGTAGAAGCCAGGAATGCTGCCGTCATCCTACGATGCACAGGACAGCTTCCAATAACAAAGAATTATCTGGCCCAAAATGTCAATTGTGCTGAAATCGAGAAACTCTACTATAACACAATGTCCCATTATGGTGTATGCTTTTTGCCTATGTTCTTTACATCTGCTTGAAAATCACTGTAGGCTTACCTGTAAGTTTCTTACTAACTTTAAGTGTACATTCACTGCTACCTGCCATAAAAACTACTCATTTACTGACTCGCCAGTAACGCTATACATAATGGAGCATGAGTGGCCCTAGGATTAAGTGGCAGGATGTGTGAGACGGGAATTAAACATATAAGACAAATGTATAATTTGTGGAGTATTCTAGTGAAATATTTTAGACAAATATTTGGGGAAAATTCATTTTTATGTTGAAAATAATGTCCATATGTTTAGGCTAAGCCAAAAAAGTTCAATGAAATTTTGGCCTTCAAGTAGAAGATACTCTTTTTCTTAACAAATTAGACTTACTGTGGAGGGAAAGTTTTAGAAGCACTGCCCTGGAGACCCCAAAGGGGAGCCCCAAATCTTTCATATTATACTCAGGCCCTTAATTTCAACTTCTACACTCTCTCTTCCTTCCCTCCTCCCTCTTAAAAAGTCTCTAAACTATAGGCACCGTTAAGGCAGAGACTGTCTTATTTATCCTTGAATTCAACCCCCTGCATCAAGTCAAGTGCCTAGCACTAAGTAGGCACAATAAATGTTTTCTGATAAATAAATAAAATGAATATGAATAAATACTATAATTGAAATTCCTTTTGGGGATATGCCTACAGCATCAAATTCCTTATGTGTCCCAAATTTGAGCTCATAGAATTCTTATAACTTTTGCTTCTGACCCTAACTTCATTCTCTGAATCCTTACTGCCAAGCTTAGGTTCAAATCAATTCTGGGTGTCTGTAAAAGTTAACTCTTTCCTTAAAGTATGAACATTTGCCCCTATTAGGTGTATCAATAAGAATGTACCAGCAGGCTGTCCTCAAATGATCTAAGCAACACTGTACACTCTTACTCAGCAGCAGTTCTCAAGTGTGGTCTAAGGATCCTAGAAGTCACCAAGACTATTTTAGATAGTTCACAAGGTCAAAACTATTTTCATACTAACAGTAAGACATTATTTGCATTTTTCACTTTCAATCTCTCACAAGGATAGAGAGGAATTTTCCAAAGGCTACATGTGTGATGACATCATCACTTTGATGGCTAATGGATTATGTGCTTGTATATTCTTTACTTTACAAATTTGTTTTACTTTCTAATATGATAAATATCAATAAGATACTGAAGCAAAACTTCACAAAACAAAACCTCTTTGAAGTCCCCAATAATTTTTAAGAGGATAAAGTGGTCTGGAAATGTAAAGCCTGAGAATCACACTGCCTTTAATGAACAGAATCTTTCAACCTATTTGGCAGATATGAAAAAGTATAGCCACAAGGTAATGATATAAATCTGCATTACACTGCAGTCAATCTATCAACTCAAATAATTTTCTCGTGAATTAGAGCTCAGTCCATCTTCTCACTTCTTGGGGGAAAAACTGAAAATGAACTTTGTACCTATCATACTTTAAATGATGGCAAATACTTCAAACACAGTTATTTTGTTTATGTTGATAAATGAAATATTAACTCCCATCTTACTTTTAAAAGTAAGTACCTAGAAACTTCATGTGATAATTCTTTGAGTTTAAAGTTAATATCAGCTACACTTTTCTCATGTGTAAGTATAGGTATTTGTCTGAAGCGCTCTTCCTCGAGTCAAACAAGCAAAACTTTTAAGTAATAATAAACTAACAATTTTATTCTATTTAGGAGGCAGAAAGATCACCTAGAGAGAGGAGGAGCGTTGGTAGGGAATACCCTAGCACTTAATATTCACTTTACACGCTTTATACAGAGCCCAGTAAAATAAAAATCACAGCTTGCCCTGATGTTCTTTCCACCGATTGAGCAGTTCCCATCTCAGAGCCTTTGCTCTTGCCATTTCCTCTGCCTGAAACACTCTTCCTCCACATTCCCACATGGATTCTTCCTCATTCACTCAGGACTTTGCCCAAATGTCACCTCAGAGAACTTTTCTGACCATTGGACCTAAAGTAGCACCTCCATCACTCTAAAAACGATTTCTCCCATTGTACCGCAAAGCCTTCCATCATCTTTCCCTTACTTTCTTATCTATTGGGGAAGAAATGTTATGAAGTGGAAAAATAATAGGGATTTGTTATCAAGTCACCTGTGTTATCTCCACCATCAATCAGCTACATAACCTCAGATAATATTATAAACTCTTGAGACTCATTGTCCATATTTGTAAAATGGGATCTAGCAACATCCGCCCCTACCTGAGCATAAGCTCTGGGTGGACTGCCAGAATTACACATTGGCTCAAACACTCACTAACTATATGATCTTATAAATGGGAATAACACCAGACTTACCTTAAAGAGTTATTGTGATAAACACATGTGACATGCTTTGTACACAATTACTGGCACAAGGTAAGTACTCAACAAATGTCAGTTACTATTAACTAGCTACTTAATGGATTTCTCATAAAGATCAAAACCGACTGGAAAACAAATCATGTCTAATAAATTTTTTATTTATTAACTCTAGAGAGTTGTAAGTCTATAATTAATCACTGTATCTTTTTACATTTTTCAGCAATCTTTAACTCAGAGTGATTCAGAGGTTTCTGGTTTTGTTTTTGTTTTTCAAATGTAAGTCATTAAAGGTTAAAAGGTACCACTACCACATACCTATCCAATAACTAAAAAATTACATAGCTAACTATACTAAACTTACTATGAATGAATGTCAGATAAATTCATTCATTTTGAGAGTATTCAAAAGCTTATGACTGTGAAATAATTTTACTCTAGCTCATTTCCATTTTTTCTTAGCAATTCAGGGGTAGGCAAAAGTAGGCTTATAGCTGTTTGTATGAAAAACAACACAATAATTAATTAATAATACAAGAATAAACTGTTTCACATACTCACAACTGTAAACCTACTTTTGCCTACCCTGTATTTTTCTAAAGGTTCAAAATGTATGACATATTCTTGTATTCTATTTGACCCTTCTGTCATGTTCTTATTTGTCAAATAGGAGTATGTGACTTTGCTTCCCTTTAATACTGTTGTAGGGAGCAATCAGTGCTTACAAATTTTTAAGTGGTATCAAAGTATATTGTCTCACGGCATAGGAGGTCGTTAGAAACTACCTCTTAATTATGATGATATTCTGAAGTCTACTTAAAATACCTAGTAGTCACAAATAACCTGCTCAAATTTTCTAAAAACACATTAAATACCTACCATAAAAGTAATTTAGAACTTGTTATACAATTTTACCCATCATAGAGAAAAGCTTTTTTCTCCTACTGATCACAAGTCATATCCAGTTTACTGCCATTCTGTAGGGTATTTTTTACTAAATTTTTTCAGAATACTGAAGAAATATATACACAACCACCACTTTTTCCTCTCCTCCAAATTATTATTTTCCACACTTACCTTGCCACTGATGACTTCTTCTACTCGCTCTTGGGGTGTCTGTCCAGCTTTCTGCCTCACCAAAACATACACTAAATTCACCTTAGGACAAGACCTCAGCAACTTTTCCAGAAGCACCTTCCCTAGGAAACCAGTAGCTCCAGTGAGGAGAACATTCTTGCCTTCATAGTATTCTGGTATTGAAACCATTCTGATCCTAAGGAAAACACAACAAGTAGGCATTAATTCAAAGATGTATGTTCATTCTTATGTACTAAAATCTCTTGGCATTCAAATAAGTATTTTAAAAGACAGGCAAAAAATCAAAGTTGAATGTTAACAAAAGAAGACTAACTTCTGGTTCACTGCAGTAAGGTAGAAGAAAATAAGGAACTGCAACTACGGCTTCTAATCCCTGTGTTTTCCCCCGATCACCTCAGACAAGTCACTCACCTTTTCTGGGCCTGGGTTTGTTTAGTATAGTTTGTAATAAATGGCTTGTAAAAAGTCCTTCCAGCAATAAGAACTCAACTCTTCATTTAAACCTCAGTTAAACCCTAAACACGAATGAATGGTGTCTGTCTCCAAAAGAATTTATAACACCAAATAGAGGTCAGCAGCAAGACTCAATTGCCTGGCTTGTGTAACGTGGCAAGGTGTCACATTCACCTATCATTACCAGTTGAAACAAGAAGAGGTAACACCAAGTCCTTTCTCTGACATGTCTATAGTGACAATGTATTCAAAAGGTGCTTCAATCTCCCTTTTTAAAAAGCTATACTAGAAATACATGGCCTGACTTGTCCTCCTTATCCAAATTCCACTGAACCAGCAGGAAAGACAGTATGCTAAGAGAGTGAAGAAACAAAAGAACCATGATAAATGGAAAAAAACAAGATGCAGAAGGATTCATGCGGTATGTCACTATGCAAAGCTCAAACACATTCAAAACAATGCTCTTTATTGTTTAGAAATACACACAATATTAATAGATGCACGAGGGGGCTGCGATACAATCAGAGAAAAGCATAAGGAGTTTCGATTGCACTTATTTTTTATTTAAGCTGTGGAGTAGATACATGTGTTTTGTGTCCAAATTTTTCATAACTGTAAGAAGAATTCATGATAATCTGAAAATAAGAAATAGACCCAACAATAAGCAGGAAGGAAGGAAGAAAGGGACAGATGGGAAAGGAAGGGCAAGGGCAAGGGCAAGGGCAAGGGCA